AGGGCGCGAGAGTGGAGGAGCGGCAGGCGTACCTGCAGCAGGTGGAGGACGAGTTGAAGGGCCGCTTGAACGAGACGCGGCATGTCGGGGAGAACCTCGCGGCTGAGAAGGTGGCACTGCGAGCGGAACAGGCGAGACTGTTGGCGGAGCGGGCTGCTGTTGAGCAGGACCGCAGGCAGTGCAATGAGGTGGCACACGGCTTCGTGGAGCGCGAGCGCCGCCTTAAGGAGGCGGAGAAGAAGTTGTCGCAAGTGAAGGACGACCTCGCGGCGTACGAGGCCTTTTTGCGCGCGAGGGGAAGTGATGGGGCGTGACATGGGTGGAATAGCGTTCGTGTTTTTGTGTGTCTGTGTTTCTTTTGAACCCAGTGACCGGTAGCGGCGACTACACTCACCGGACGCAGCGTTTCTGTTTTCTGTTTTTGTTAAATGGCCATTGCTATTCTGCCATGACTTGTTGTTGCGCAGCAGAGGTTGCGGGAAAGGAAGGGAGGGAATATGGATGTGATGCAGTGCACCGCCTGCACCCTCCTGTGGGTGTACGGCGTGGCGAGCTGGTGCATGTGCTTCTACGTGCTGTTCTCCTCGGGCGAGGGGTACATGTGGTTCACAACTTTCCAGAACTACTTGCTGATTCTCGGGGCGACAGGGGCTGCAGCCGCGGCACCCTTCTTCGATGTTCCCTCAGCAAGCATCTTCATCACATTTAGCGGATGGTCCTTCTACGCAATGCTGGTGAGTGTCCATTACTGGCGCTTCAAGCTGTGGCGGCGGCACATTATTCCGGTGAACGCGCCATTGCTCCTTCTCTTTCTGTGGGAGGTGGGCAAGGCGGCGGGGGATCGTGTGGACCCGTGTTGCTGTGGCGGCAGCATTCCTTGAAACAAGACGCTGTTCGCTACACATACACGCATATATATATATATATATATATATGGTGAGGCACTATTGCTTTTGGCAAGCCGATGGTAATCTTTTGACGCAACCTCATCGTGAATATGGGGTACATATTGTTGGTTGATATCCTTGCTGTTGGTGTGGCTGCTGGATATGTGCTTTGTAAACCATCGTCTCTTGTTTCTCTCCTCAAGGGAAGATACACAGGTGTGTTTTATTTGCTCGATTTGCCTAAGCAGTAGTAGCAAAGATGAGCGAGGCCCGTCAGATTCAGAGTATGATCGACTTCATCGAGCGTGAGGCGCAGGAGCGGGCAGAGGAGCTCGACTGCGCCGCTCAGGAGGAGTATGATGTTGAAAAGATGCGCCTCGTTGAAGCCGAAAAGGTGAAGGTGCGTGGCAACACGGAGCAGAAGAAAAAACAGGTGGATATCGACCGCAGAGTGGCAAGGGCAAACTTCTCAAAGGCCCAGCGGCTCCGAGTCATGGAGGAGAGGTCAAAAATCATGGACCAACTGAAGGAAAACACGAAGCGGAGAATTCTGGCGTTCGTTAATGACGCTAGCAGCTACCGCAAACTTCTTGTCGATCTTATCCACCAGTCACTTCTCTCGGTGCAAACAGACGTCGTCATTCGTACGCGAAGGGAAGATGAGGCCACGGTTCAAAGTATGACCACGGAGTTAGAGCATTGGTACGCGGAGAAGGTGGGGACCAAAATAACGATCAAACTAAGCAAAGAATACCTCAACAGTGAAGATGCATGGGGTGGCGTGATTGTCGAATCTCAGAATGGCCGCATCACCTGTAATATGACGCTTTCGTGCAGAATGAAGAACTGCTTCGAAGACCAACTTCCTGCGATTCGTTACTACCTTTTTAATCCTGATGCACCTGTTTAATGTATCCGCTCCATCTACGGCGCGTAACGTGGCCGAACTGTGGCGCAGCAGCGATAGGATCAAAGGGGGGTTGCATTATTCGTAGAGCGACGTAAGGAAGTTTTCGATGTGCGGTTTAAATGGGCGTGAGTGGAAGGCGTGCGTTCACTCCAAACCACTTTTTTTGCAAGTGAACAACTTTTTGTCTTTACATCCATTTATTTTTGAAGTATGACTAGGGAACCAGAGTTTGATGTGTCCCAATTAGAGCTCCGGCTGGGGGAGCTGCAAACGATCTGGGAAGGGGTAAGGGATAATTCTTCTGCAGCGTCGGCCAGCCACCGGTACTCACTCCCGACGAGGCCCACCACCTCTCCGCGGAAGAAAAAAAGCCAGAGCCAGCAGCTTTCCGCCACTCCCGGTTTCCTGCAGTCCAGCTCAGGTGCATCCACCCGCGTGCGGAGGCGACACACCATGGAGCCAACAGGCCCAGGCGTGGGGGAGCCGGGCTCGCGCCCCACGTTGGTGGGTGTGGGACGGGCGGGGCAGCGCAGTCCTTCCTCTCGGTCCCCCAGCCGGGTCTACTCAAAGAGCCCAGTGTCTGCTGCCGTGCAGCCGGCTAGGGACTTCAGTCCCAGGAATACCTCAACGGGAGGACTGCTGCCGCCACTGGAGGTGTCAGCTTCGCGCCAGGCTCCGAGATCGTGCCAGAGTTGCGGCTTTGCTGGAGTAAGACCGACGGCGTTGTTCTGTCAAAATTGTGGGAAGCGTTTCTGACTAATTTATACAATGATGTGAGTGGGCTTCTCGGTGTTGGTTGCCATTATTTGCAGAGGGGTGAGGGGTCGCCTTAGCTTGAATGCTTCTGGAGAGAGAGAGAATGTGTGTGTCTGGAAGATGTGCATGCGCATTTGACGGTCATTTTTTTCTTTCCTCTTCTATCCCTCGCCGTTGCTTTACTTCTTTTCAGGATCGATTTGACTTGAAGGTGGACCCATAAAGGGAGAAAAAAGGGGAAAAAAAGCACGAATGCAGCAACTCAACCGAGATGTCGTCAAGGACGTGGCGTCCGCCCTGCAACTAGAGCAGGAACTTCAGCTCTCACAAGCACATCACGGGGTGACCGTCCTCGACGTTTACAGCTCCGAGTGGGGCAACACCAAGGCTCTGGCGGAGACCTTCAGGCGCTTGTATACAGACGCCGGTGACCAGGTTCATCTTCGCTTCTTCTCAGTTGAGTGCAATTCCGTCCTCGAAAGTCTTAACTACCCCGACGAGCAGCGCAACCCACAGCGGCCGAAGGATCTGGACATGTGCCGGGAAACTCTCCCTATGTATTGGAAGGACATCTTGAACAGCCGCCGTGGGAGGTCGAAGTCCTACTTTGTATTGTACAAGGAGGGGAGGATGCGCGCCACTATAGAGGGCGTCAACACGCCAAAGATTATCAGCTACGTGAGGGATTTATGCCGTATCCAAAAACCGGCGAATGAATTCACCTCTAACGCAGAGCTGCTCAAGTTTTGGGGACTGTACTTCAGTGCAGCCGAAAATGAGGTCTTCTGGGACTCATTCGTACGTGCAATACATGATTACAGCGCTCCAAACCGCTCATTGTCTGACAGAGAGAAGAAGACCCTGGCCGACGCTATTGGGATCAAGGACCATAAGGTGACTATTGGAGATCTTGACCAGTGGGTGGGCACAACGCGCACGATTGATGCAGCTTTTCTGGAGCTCTTTCCGATGCTCAGAGACGGTGCAGAGGCGCCTGTGCCAGCGGGGACCAGAGCACAGAGCGCCGCTGCGGCGGAGACAACCCTTTATTCTCCAGTCGAGCAGGTGATAATTGAACACGTCATTGACACGAAATGGAAGCCTGCGATTTGGCATCGTGTGGCAGCCACTGCACTGCACCATCCAAGCAACAAGCAACTTGTACTTCTACCCCCCAGCGAGGGTGAGAAAGAGGCGCAGAAATACCTCCAACTTGCCGTCGATGCTCCAAGCTTGAACGAATACCTGAAGAGCTGGGGTGTTGCTGCGGGGGATATCGAAGTGATGTGCCACTCCGCAGACAATAAAATCCATTCCGAGACTCTGTCGTATGGCAAACTGGCTTTGATTCTGATGTTGTGTGACAACAACAAGTGTGAAGAACTTGTGGGCCGCCAAGAAAGCTTTCTTGATCAAATTTCGGATGGCGTGCTGATGACGAATCATTTCCCTCTTGCCTACACAGCTATTTGCCTATGCACCACGGAATCGCACGGCGATGGAAGTTTTTATTACTGCAACGACGTGAGCACTGTCGAGGGTGCAGACGCACTTGCAGAGGGAGAAGAGGTGGTCTTGCCTCCATTCTCCCGGTTACGTTCAAGCAGCCCGGTTGAAGGACTCTTTACGGTAAAGATTATTGGCTTACCAAAAATAATTGAGCTCGCAACAACGGACTCTGACGAAGAAATTGTTCTTAGTCCATGGTATGCCAAACTTCTCGTTAAAGAGAAGCTAGATCACATGATTACGTTGACATTCGTTGAGAATGTTGAGGGTGACGAATTTCAGAAGTCTACACAGTTGTACACTGAGCGTCTTGCCGAGGATGAGGCTAAACTGCCAAAGGCAGTGGAGATAGTCGCTATTCATGAGCATTCTCTGGAGTCGGAACGCGACGTAGACCCGCCCACTAGAGCCAATGTTTGGCCTGCTAACGGAAGGACTGCAGGTGCCTCTCCTGAACTTGTTGACGGAGTGGCAGGAGATGATGCCCAGGAAGAGATTTCTGCCGAGCCAGCAGATGCGCCAGCAGGAGACGATGTCCAGGAAGAGATTTCTGCCGAGCCAGCAGATGCGCCAGCAGGAGACGATGCCCAGGAAGAGGTTTCTGCCGAGCCAGCGGATGCGCCAGCAGGAGATGATGCCCAGGAAGAGGTTTCTGCCGAGCCAGCAGATGCGCCAGCAGGAGACGATGCCCAGGAGGAGATTTCTGCCGAGCCAGCAGATGTGCCAGCAGGAGACGATGCCCAGGAGGAGATTTCTGCCGAGCCAGCAGATG